TGGTGAGAGAACTCTCACCCTCGCAAATAAAATTTGGCCTCAGCCATAACCATACTAGACTAATGTATAAAACTCTTCAATGTGACATCATCCGAAACACTTGTCTCGCAGTCATCTCTTGGATAACTTTTCCAAATTTTCCTTACAATAAGGTCCCTTTTCTTTGCAAGATGATAATCAAGAGTGACTGCTAGCAAAAATCGACTACTGCTGACTCCAAAGCATACTCGCATATAACGGAACACCTTCTCATTGCCATTGGAATCCACCCAGAGGAAACGGAAAAAATCTCTGTCGGTTCACTTCACGTATACTGATCTGAAGAACAGCTTTGCGTATGTCAGCTATAACTCCTTTTTTACCTGGTCGAAATCGTAGTAAAATATTTGGAATCAATTCAAATTAACACCATTCTCCAAACACTGATTTAATGAAGGAGCATCTCGTTCCTTGACTAAAGCATTGAAGACAGGTCTAATGGTACTACCCTCTTTTACTAGAGCTCTGTATGGCAAATAATGAGCAACATCATCGGATATAGAATAACTTGTTGAAATGTCCTCTGTAATTGTAGGAATTCACAAGGTCATTATTTGCTAATTTGTTTAAAGTGCTGGATAAACGTTTCTTGGCAAGATGATAATCGAAGGCAAAGGGGGGGGTGTCTCTCGACCTAAGGTAGTCCGACTTTATAACGTCCATATCCATTAATATTCACCGTTTGAAGGGAAAATTTTGTAGCTGCCTGAGCCAATTGGTCACATGAATGCTTTTCGGTAGGTTCGTTTATACCCAGAGTATGTAGCTGCCAAAGTTGAGTAAGTGATGCGTCGTTAACAAACAAAGAAATAGCTGTTATAGTTTCATTATTAGTTTTGTATATATGTATTCGGCCCATAAGTGTCCATCCTAACAATGTTTCCATGGCCACCATCTCACACTTCAAAATATGTATTCGCCCAGTGTAGAGTTTGGCAGCAACGTCCGATCCAATCAAAATTTTTATAGGGGTAGCATCGTAACAGTCACTTAGCTGAATACCTAACTTCTTCATTTCTTCCATCCAAGGGCCCTCAAACACAGGTGAAACATCGAAGCAAATAGCAAGGCTTCAAAAGTACAGCTATAACTATCATAACTTAATTAAACATCATAAAAATCATGTTTCAACTGTGTAGTTGCTCCTCCAAACAAACAATGATTAACTGTGCTCTGACGCTTGGATTTGTAGCCCAACAATTCTGCTGTACTTTTTAAAATATAACTATTTTGAGAACCTGTATTCACTAGTGCTCGTACGCTCCTGAACCCATACCTACACTCCTCTAATGGTAGCCCGTAGAGTTTGGAGAAACACATCGCTAGAAGTCCCATCAGTACACATTTCCACCGAATCCTGATTAGATTTTTTGACATCTGGGCGATCATCAACTGACTGGCCTCCTGGCAAATTAAAACACATTGAAGTTACATGGGATTTGCTAAAGAAAAATACATTTCAAACAAGGTCGACATTTCCGGCTCTGGTATCTTCAAACACCGAAAACACGCCTTTTTTGAAGTAACAATTTCATATCTTTTTTCTAGTGAAAAATGTTGTGCTTTAAAACAACTGTGACTATCATGATTGTTCTCACAAAAAATGCATTTGTTCGAAACTGAAGGTCTTTCATGGTTAATATGACCAGTAGCAGTAGGAACTTCCTTCTCAGAGAAACTTGTGACCTTCTTCCTTGCTCCCACCATTCCATGAGCACCAGCGATATTAGCATTGGTGTATTTCTGCTTCGAGCCTGTAAGCAAACCAAAACGCTCAGTGGCCAGCAAAATCCTCCGTTCATTGTCGACCTCGTTGCGCAAAAACTGCGTTAGATTATTCAACTAGTCATCGAAGAACCATTTATACTTTGTTGGGAACCGGTAGGATAAGTATTGGTTAGAGATGAAAGTTGCCACACCCTTAACAAATATTCTGGCAAACATGACTCAATAAGTTGGAATAACATTGCAGAACAACTATCAGATTCAGAGTGTCCAAAGCGCACATTTGAGTCTCTATGCTATCATACAAGTCCACTAAATCCATTCTACCATTAGAAAGAGCGTTGTTTACAATGATTTTGAGTAGTTCACGTAGATACACCTCTATCTGCAAATCATCCCTGCCGAGACGAGAAATCAAACAGTCAATAAATTCGTCATACTTTTTCTCAACGCAAGCAAATCTCCCAATAAGTTGTCTAGCTCTGCTGCCTGGTAACGTAGCCTGCACCAAATATTCTACCTTGCCATTTAAATCTATCTCAGGATCGTCAAGCACCTTACTTATGATCAAAATAGCAGCCAATTTTTAAATTGCCATCAAAAGTTTTAAATTCTATAGCAGGAAGTTTGAATTTGCGCTTACCTTTGTCGCTGCTAGTTGAATTACTTGACTGGTTAGCTACTGATTGAGTCTCAGATTGAGCCTTCGACTTATCTTCGAGGAATTCGGTGCACTTGAGGTTCAAAACCAAATTCTAGTTTTTGTAGGCTTCACATGAATCCATCTCTGCTAGCAGATCCTCCTCACTTGTTTCTTTCGGCATCAAGCAGTAAGTGTCTTCGTCCAGGTAACCCAACTTGTTGGACTTCTCAATAAACAATTCCCAGAACACTTGCACTTCTTGTTTGTCAGCTCTGTCCACTATTAGTTTATCTACCTCTTTAGCCTTCTTGGTAAACGATGAATGCAACACTTTTCTTTGTTTTCTCAAGTCTTCTAAGTTTTCTTAAATGTTTTTCCAACCAAAAAAAAAATAGAACAAAATTGAGAAAAAATATGTACCATGCAAACTTGAGTAAAATTGGGTTGTCTGTGTAAATAACGACACTATATGAACTTGCCTGGATTCAAAACCACTCTAGTTCAAAACGTAGATAAAGGCAGTGTAAAACCAACGGCTTTTTAGCGTTAAAACCCCCATTTTAAACACAGCAAGGGGCAACTCGTACAAAAACACTCACGTTTCAAATTTTTCCAACCGAAATTCGGCCCAACTATAGTGAAAACGGAGTGAAAGTTGCTTTTCTGTATATGTTTCAGAGAGTCCTTTCTAACTAGAACAAACCGCACTACGTCTAGGTACCGTTTTTCTACAAAAGAATGTAACCAAGTCCTGTCGTGGTCGCCACTTTACTTTATGTCGTGCCCCAGAAAAACAACACGGTTCGAGGTTTATGAAGAAACAAATCCACCTAATAACTTCGTTTAATGCTACTTCTGTGCGAAACAGCGGAAATAAATTTACAACGTGAGCTATATCTGAATACTTGATGAGTGACAACTGTCAATTGAAAAAGTCATCGACGTTATTAAAATTTCATTTCTCGGCTTTCATTTCCAATATTCCATATGTCAAACTTAATAGCCAATAACCAATATTTATAATTACTATTTATGGTCACTGGAGAATTCACATTCGATATGCGGACAAAATACATTTGAGAACTTCTAACTTTTCCTGAACATGTACGGCTGGGTTAATCGTGTGGCTCGAGCCGAATTTGCTGATTCTTGTGAACGCAGCTGAGGCCATTTAAATCTGTTTCAGTTCGCTGAGCGGACTCTATCGGTTCAAATTAAATCGGTCCCCATTTAGTTCTGGTAATCGAAAAGTTAGATTACTGTGTTCATTGAATAAATTAATGCTTAATTTAAGTTAAATTAGTATTTTGGATTGTCGATCCGTGCGCTTTGCTTCAGCTTGTGTTTGGATAGAGCTAATTATATACTGTTAACGTTCTCACGGTGCATTAGGCTTGGATTTTTCAATGTACCATTTCTATTATCTATTTATTTGGAGGAGAACTAACTTGATATCAAATTTATTCAAATAAGAATGGGTATCTGATTTTTGCGTCCGAAAAAATATTCTTCATATTACATGGCAACTGTTTCCAATTAGTTCTACCAAACTACTTGGAGGTTAACAAAATTTTGCAAGCATTACAAATTGTGAAATGGAAATGGTATATCAAAATGGCGCGCTCTGCATGAATCTGTCAAAAGCCTTCGGGTTTTCCGATTTCTAGATTAGAGCATCATATAGGTCGTAATGTGTGCGTTTAATGTGAAAAGAGCCCCAGACTTTGGTTTAATGCTCTCGCACGCCTAAGCCGTTAAACGTGGTTTATGACCGCGAAATAAATACGAAATTTTCCACATATTTTTGATTAGAATTATTAAATTTATTAAACGATTCCAAATTTTTGAGCCGAGTTCCTAACACATTTGTTTAAAATAAGTATCAATGAACTATTCAGTTGAAATCAATATAATTCAAAAATTATTTGAACCGACGTGGTTTATTTTTGTTCGCGTTTTTAGAAAGCAGAAATACCAGGATTTTTAGGAAAATATACAGAAAGTTCTATTTGAAATTACCGACTGATGCATAAATAATTCAGCAAATCTCCCGATAAAATCCTGGGCCATATTTATGTCTTCAGAATCAACAATGTATCCACTGACATAACAAAATGCCTAGACATGCTACTAAATTGCCCTTGATATTGGAGGATCTATGGATATCAGTTTTACTATTGTGTAATTTTTCGATACACGCTAGTCGTCTCTTGATTTTTAATTGATATTTGACTGGATAAAATTCTTCTGCTTTTGTATCTTTTCGAGTAGGTAAGTTATACTTAATTTGTTAATCTATATGTATGTTACGGTTAATACGCAAACTTGGATAGTTTGTGAACTAGCTGGATAGATTGCAAACTAATTAAGAGTCTTGGCTAATTCACTTGAAATTATTGCCTGGCTAATATGAAAAAGATAAAATTTCTTTGCCCCGCGACTAACCTAATAAATATTGAAACGTAGAAAAAAAAATCACAAAAAACAAATTTATGAAGAAAATTCATTATCCGCATCTCTGTTCGTTCTTTTCTTAATAATTAGGTAAAAACAAGGTTATGTTGAACGTCTGACATATCAGTCTGAGAGTTTGCTAAAGGATATCACAAACTACAAAACAAAGGATTAGCTGTGACAAAGAATTGCTTATCGCAGCCTAGATTTTTAGATTGAATTTTATTGTTTTTTTTTTTTTTTCTGTGAGTTGTTTGCGCCAGCAGTCGTAGTTTATAATATGAACTTTTGATGGAAAATAGTATTAGGTATATTTTGGTTAACCTAGTGGGCAAAGCGAAAGATGCAAACAACTTCTAGAAAAATTTTGTTTTAAAATGTTGATTAATGTATCACAGATCAATGCATTTTCTTAAATCCAAGGGCGGTCGGCCGACGAGAACAACGAAATTTGTTTGAGCTTATCTACGTTATTTGATGTATTGTTTTTTTTTTTTTAAATATTGTCTATGATAGGTGAAATCGCAGGGAGCAGCTAGTTTTTAATTAACATTACTGTCAGTCGGACATAAAAAATGCAATGTATTTACACTTACCAATAAACCACGGATTCCTCGGATTATTTTCGACGTTCAGCGACAAAAAGTACTCTTTAAAACCTTGAACAGGATTAGCTTGGGGCTGTACCGATAATGTACCTTCAACTTCAGCTTCGTTACCGTCGGACACTAAAGATCGGGCGCTCCATCCATCTGAACCGATCCAGGAAAATGAACCAGTAGCGTTACATCTTCTAACTGCCTTCATTAATTCGGCAACTTCTTGGTCGGAGCCGAAAATTATACAACCTGGAATATATATCAAAAATATTAATTCCGCAAGGAAACATAAAAGATTTTGAAGGAAGCAGTAACTGATTCCAGCACACAGTTCCTTAATCAGACGAAAGTTATTCCGTATGAAAAGGCACCCTGTGCTGAAACATGTAACGGCTTCAAACAATTAGGTACCTAAAACTGTGGAAACTTCAAAAACCGTTTTTGTTTGGCCTTTCATAATTTGTAATACCTAGATTTCCATCAAGTATCGGCTGAACCAATCTCTCTAATTATTGTCAAATCACTTGCTGCAAGATACTAAACAAATAAAGGCCTCTTTGTGTCAAAAAACAGCAGAAAAAAATATGCCTCTCTTTCATTTGATCCATCTATAGGGAAAATTGTGCATGTAGCGAGATTTTAAAATTTAATAAAATCACAACAAATATTCAATTTTTCAATTTGGTGGTCAAAAGTTCTCCCGCAGAGCAACCAAAATCTGAATAGATAAAACCCCATCTATTGATAAAAATCGTTCAATTATTTCAATCAGATTAATTTTGTTGCCCTATAATTATTGCAAATATTTCTTCAATAAAATACAGTTGAATTAATCTTGTCTTAAAACCTTGCCCAATCAAACAAAAAGACAATATATTAGCCCATTGTTATATTATCGTTTCTCTTCTTTATGATATTTCCCAGGTCTTATTGAAATTAAAAATATTATTCACGATTTCGTTTTAAATTGTGCTTTCAGTGCTTTCGGTAGTAATGGCTCATTAGATTTACTTGAACACAAAAAGAGATTTGTTTGATTTCAAAATTTAAAGAGGAAACTTTTCTTTAAGGTTTGAGAAGCGGAAGGCAAACGCCACTCGAGTGTAAACAGGAAGGAACTTAAAGAACTTTTTCATCAAACAAAAAATTACCCTATTTCAATCATAAAATTCCGGGTTATAGCTTTATTATTTGTTTCAGATAAATTTCAGTCCTTTTTCAGGCTGGAAAAAATTAGGATCAAAGCGAAATATCCATGTAGTCCGCACAAACACAATTTGTATAAATATTAGTAACTCCTGACTAAATATTGGCTTAAATAAAAGCATGTTGTTTGGGTTAGTTGAAACAATTTTATTTTATTTATTTTAAAAAAACGAAGTATCGTGGCTGAATACACCTGTGTGGTTCACATGTTTTGTAGTTTTTTTATCCGACTATTGACGGATGTTTTTGTCTCCACAATTTATGTGTCAACCTAAGATTTATAATCTCCATCAAATTATTGATGAACATCCATTATAGTAACACTGATTGATGTATACATTTTGATGTCAATTTATAAGAGATGGTTGATTGTGTGCTTAACCTCGCTCTAATAATATATTTGATCTGGAAACCATATTTAGTGTAAGACTCTGAAGATTCCTCTCTTTATATTTATGTCGTCTTGTCTGTATTTGTTCGGATTCGGTTGTTAAGTACCTATATGCTTGTTTTCCAATTGTTCATGACTGTTGCTAGGAAATTTTTTATCGTTTATTTTGTAAATTTGTTAGACTTTCCTCAGCCAAGGATATGGTTTAGAGTCAAATGCTTTTTCGTAATCTAAGTAGCATGTTTGAAAGTTTCTTGGTTGTTTTTTCAGTTTGTCTCATTATTATGGAGTTTATTATTAGCCATTCCTTGCAACCTTGGCTGTTCTTTATGCAGTCTTTTTGTTCTTTTGTAATTATACAGGGTGTCTCAGCCGATAGTGACCCATTTTAAATGCTTATAACTTTTAAACCAGGTGTGCTAGCTACCTGCGGTTTGCGCCATTCGATTTCTCTTGACCTAAAGTTTTTTGTAGTAGGTTGCAAATTTGTTTGCCACTTATACAGGGCGAGTAAAAAAAACCGTTTTTCAACATCGAAATTCTCCACTAGGTATTTTTAATGGAACACTCTGTATATCACAACGTCAAAAAAAAGGCAATGTTCAAGGTATCCATGTACCAATAAACATCGTCCTTTAAGTTTTAGCCGTAAAAAATCAAAAGAAATCCTGGTATTTTTTATTAGCATATTTACAAAGCTTGGAAATTATAAAAAATGCTGTATATGTTAGCTAATATGTTGCACGCATTTAGGAATCAGTAAATGGTTGAATAAATTGTGTAACATTTCCTGGGGAATCGCTTCAATGACATTACGAATGTTCCACTAAAGATCTTCCAAGCTGTTTGGCAGAGGATTACAGGATCTCTCCTCGACATAATTTCAGAGAAAAAAGTCTGGAGCTGTCACGTCAGGAGAATAAGCTGTCGATATTCTATACGACCAGTCAAGGGCGTCCATAGAAAAATTTTCAGGGGGGGGGGGGGCAAAAACCTGACTTATTTTTATTTTTTAAATAAGACTATTTATGTAGGTAACCATACGTATATTACTGAATCAACATAAGCAGTCTAAACTATACTCATTTGTAATGACGTCATTTAAAAAAAAATAAATACACATTGCACAGACAGAATGTCAATTTGGCAATTGACGTTTTCAATTAAAAGAGATGGACGATAAAGTATGAAAACATTCAGATTCCCGCCAACATTTGCTTGCTCGTCAATGTCAAGTGTATAGGATGTTTAGCAATCCCCTGGTTTTTATTCTAATCGGTGACTCCACCGATGAGTTAGGTATCTTTGTTCAGTGAATGGAAAATGACAATGACCGACATAGAATGGTGAAATTTGAAATTGGAAAGAAAATGTGGGAAGCAAACAGCTTCCGCAAACTAAACTTGAACGTGGATATCTTTGTATACTTGATAGGCGGTAGATTTCCCTTACTTTTGCGAGTATCAGTTCTGATTTTGTGTATTCAAATTTTGACAAATGTAGGATTTGATAAAAACTTATGGAAAGACACGTCCGCCGGTGAATAGGAATTATTTTCACGAAAAGGCACACTACACACAATCACCATTGTTAGGAAAAAACCTTGAAAAACCCGAGGAAATAATAGCTTCCAGTCTCACACGTATAAAACTCTTGTCAACAAACCACTGTCAATAGCTGTCAATCATTGTTTTCATACTCTTTTGGCGTCTGACAGTCTGACGCCAGAGAGAGAGGCTTCTAAATTGAAAAGGTCAATTATTATTTATAATAATAGACCTATCTATTTTTAACTGGTATGCGCGCGCAACACGAGGTAATGCTATTTCATTGGCTAACTAGTACAGGTGTGAGGTGTTAGTTTTGCACGCTGAGTATCTCCTTGTCCTTGTTCATTGCCTGTGGTCTGAGAAGAATAAAAGTACAGTTGATTTTCCATTTGACAAGTGACATTCAAAAGTTGTTTGAAATTTTCATTGACAAATACGTTGCACAATCATGCGGTTTTTCTCCTTCCCTTTTAACCCCGTGCAAATAAGAAGGACGGATTGCTATACGTAAGTCTAACCTAATTTGATACGTTTTGCCTCGACTTGCGCAATGAGAGTTCTGTCTTTTTTTATCTAATGAAGTTTTCGTATTATTACCTCTTTGTCTGGTAAAATAGATAGGTCTATTTTGGAGCTAAAATAAAAATATCGAATAATCGAATTCCTAGACTAGATGCTTAGAAAATAAACACAAAATTTGATATTTTGAGGGGAAAATTAAAATGTTAAATAGATGTGGAAAATAAACAACAGCCGTATTCAACATCTTCCTTTAACTTTAAAAGCGACTTTGAAAACTGTCTACAAATTTTTAAAAGTGACAATTTCCAAAGCGCTTTTAAAGTTAAAAAAAGAGGATGTTGAATACGGCTGTTAATTATAATTTATAAATTTTGATTTGATTTATTATTTATGTGTTATAAACTATAAAAAAATGCACGAAAAACGCATGAAGAAAAAAATATCGTGTTCTATTCCGAGTGTAAGCAACTTTTAGTATCACTTTTGCTATTCTGTTTTTTTATTCTTCTGGTAGCAATGGTAGCATCATGAACAATAATAATCGCCAGGCCTAGGGGGGGGGGCAAGTGCCCTATTTGCCCCCCCACCTATGGACGCCCGTGCGACCAGTTCTCCCAATCCATCTTCTTCCAAATGTCATATCTATTGATTCCCTTGCTATTAAACAATAATGACGTGGGGCACCATCCTGCTGAAAATAGATATCGTCCAAGATACGATCCCGTCTTAATTGTGGATAAAAAAAAATCCCAGCATATCAGTGTATAAAGTTCCTGTTATCGTTGGTCCATTAATGAAAAATGATCCGTATTTTTTCTCAACAGAGATTGCACCAGTGGCGGCTCGCCCTGAGAGGCCAAGGGGCCGTGGCACTGGCGCAAAATATGTCATTCCTTTAAAAATAATTTCTTTTTTTTTAGTTCAATAGTTATTACAATCGTCAGGTCAAATTACTCATCATTTTGTAATTTGATCTCGACGACAAAAATTCCCGTCGTTATTATTCCTAGATTTCCTAGACAAATAACTCATGCGACCGACTAAACTAAACTCGCTGGACTATCCGTCCGAGCACATCTCACAACGGCCCCGCTGCAACATGAGCCGCTTTCCAAAACAAATCAAAATATGCTTTATTGTTTAAAGATACAAATCTTGATAACAAAGCTTCCAAATATAATATAATTAAAATTAAAATCATCAACAAAGTAGGTACGTAAAAATAAAGATAACAAACAGGAATAAAATAGGAATAAAAACAACTGGATAAAATAGATCGAAAGACTGCTCAACATTAAAATTAAAAACAAGCTTAAAATTATTGACCATTAAACAGAGGAGATGAGAAGTATTCCTCTACAGAGTAAAAACCCTTACCCAAAAGTAATTTTTTGACTTGTCTCTTGAAACATCTACTCTCCTTTATTGTTCTTATGCTATGAGGTAGGTGATTAAACATTTTCTTACTCTTATAGTGAATAGATTTTTGAGTTAGCGAGGATGTGGGAATTGGTAGATCAATTACATGTGAACTTCTGGTATTGACCAATGAGGGAGCATGAATATTAGAGGAGTACTTCTTCTGCATGAAACACCGATTCTAAAATCAAGATACAAGGTAAGGTTAAAATACGTCTGTGTATAAAGAATGGTCTGCAAGAGTTCCGTGGACTAAGATCATATAACGACCTTATAGCACGCTTCTGGAGAACAAATATGATGTTGAACAATGTTAATGAGCAAGAACCCCAGAAGCAAATGCCATAACTAAGATGTGACTCGATCAAAGAAAAATAGACCCGTCTAGCAACCGATTCGCCCAGCTCAGCCTTGACAGTTCTAACAGCAAAGCATGCTGATGATATTTTTTACATAAATGCTCAGTGTGTTTGTCAAACCTGAGCTGATCATCAACAATCAAGCAAAGATATTTGGTCTCCATGCTTCTGCCTATAATAGTATCATCCAAAAAAACATTACCAAGATTACATTTAAAATTCATGATGGATGTATTTTGAATATTAAATGACAGCCGATTGGAGTCACACCACATTTTGATTCTCGCTAAGTCATCGTTCACCATAGCAGTCAGCATGACAGTGTCTTTATGATGCCAAACTATTGTGGTATCATCAGCAAAGGAAGTGCATAGACCACTCTTGACAGCTGTAGGAAGATCATTAACATATAGTAAAAACAACAATGGCCCCAAAACAGACCCTTGAGGAACGCCGGCGCTAACACTTAGGCTACCGGAAACGGTACCCCGAGAGACAACACTCTGACTTCTCTGAGACAAATAAGAACCAAACCACCTCAGGACAACACCCCTAAAACCATAGAGTTCGAGCTTGCGCAGCAGTATCTCGTGACTGACGCAGTCAAAAGCCTTTGTCAAGTCACAAAACACCGCTGCAGCCTTCTCACCATCATTAAGTCTGAGGTATACCTGCTCCAGGACATTGAAAATGGCATCACTCGTATTTTTCGAGGATTGGAATCCAAACTGATTGCAAGATAATAGCCCATTCTGCTCCAGGAAAACCACCATCCGCTCCTTCATGAGCTTTTCAACTATCTTGCTTAGCGTAGGCAGCAATGATATTGGGCGATAGTTAGAAGGTAACTCCTTCTCTCCTCCCTTGAAAATTGGAATCACCCTGGCTTTTTTCAAAAAGGTTGGGAAATCACCAGTATGGGAGTGTGACGATCGGAGCTACTCGGGGCGTTGAGCTCCCGAGCTGTACGTACGGTCGGATACTGGAACGCCCAAATTTTGTAACGACACGCCAGCGTCACTCCATAACCTGTCAGCTGTCACATCTGTCCATTTGTGAGTGGCTATTATTTTATTATCTATATATTTCTTGTTTATTGAAATTAATGAATTTTCATTAAGTTTTGTTGTGTTCTTTTCAAATAGAAGTGTTAGAAGTACAGCTAAGTAGTCCGATTAGCCAGAGGACTTTGTTGTTTGTGAAAATGGAACAAGAATTCATTGTAAGTAATCAAATTTATACACATAACTTCTAAATTGCAGTTGATTTTTTTGTTAAAAAACGTCAGTATTAATCTAGAATTATCCTTTAGGAATGGGTGATGCAAAGCAGTAGTCCAATACCTAGTGTTAGTAGCTCTAGTACTAGTGAAGACAGCCGTGAGGAAAGAGCAGAAAATAGAAGAGGTATCAAGAAAGTTAGAACAGAAAATTTTTTGGAGCAAATAACAATCTCATTTTTTTTTTTTGTATTATAGAGAGATTCAAAGGAAGTCACCACCAGCCCAGTAACAGAAATAAAATTGAGATTTCAGAGACAAAATCAGTTCTTCTCTGTTTATGGTATTTAGCCAACAAGGAATCATTCAGGCAGATTTCTGACAGATTTAATGTTTCACTGAGCTCAGCTTACAGAGTGTTACTCAGAGTGACAAGTTGTATTTGTGACCTGAGACAGGAATACATTAAATGGCCCGATAGTAATGAAAAAAGGCGAAGCAGTGGAGAGTTTAGGAAAAAACAGGGGTCAACGTTGTAATAGGATGCATTGTTGGAAGTCATATTCGCATAAATAGGCCAAGACATGATGAAGACGTTTATGTGAACCATAAAGGATATCACAGTCTTTTGTTGTAGGGCGTTGTAGATGAGAGGAAAATGTTTATTGTTTATTGTTTTTTGTGGTGAACCCGGGTCTTTGCATGATGCAAGGTTGCTGAGAAAATCAGACCTTTTCCAGAAAGCACTAAATGACCCGACATTGTTTGATAATTATTATTTGTTGGGCGATTCAGTCTATCCAGCTCTGTAGTGGCTAATTCCACCATTTCGGGATACTGGAAACCTGACAGAGGAACAAAGGCAATTTAATTACAGGCTTTCTTCTACCAGGATGACTGTTGAACATGTCTTCGGATTGTTAAAAAACAGATTTAGAAGACTAGGGCACTTCGAAAATTTTGGAATACCAATAATTGTGAAATGTATAATGGCCGCCTGTGCCCTCCATAATATATGCATTTTGGAGAAAGACATTATTGACGATCCCAATTATGACCCTCATGATGTGGATGGCACTCCAGAGGAATGTACTGAAACTGAAGGTGAACAAAATTCAGGTCCACCCAACAAGAAACACAAGAGAGATTTCGTCTTTAACCAAATGTTTGGAACTAAAAGATAATTATATTCTTTGTATAGATTATGTAACGGGTCTTCAAAAAAAAAAACAATCAAAGATTGCTTTGGTTACAAAAACGTATGTTGCATGTTGCATTATTGTTTCTTTATTGGTCAGGATTTTTGACATGACATTTTAACATTGAAGTCATTGACAAAATTAAAGAAACATATTGCTTAGACATACACGTTTAAAAAACCATAGCAAACTTTGAATGTTTTTTTTTTTTTTTTGAAGACGCGATATGTGAGTAATGTTAATCTAGCTATTATCACCCTTATGTAAAATTTAGATTTAGAGATTGGTTAGTTGACAAAATATGTTTAAGGCTCAGTTGTACAGTCTCGGTTCAAAACAAAGTTCAACTGAACTCGACTGGTAATTGAGCTTTCCCATTTAAAATACATTGCTAACAGTTATTAATCAAATTCTATCAATTTTGACAGCAATGCATTTCAAATGGGAAAAAGTTCAGTTGAACTCTGTTTTAAACCAAGATAGTTTAATAAATGAAATAATAAACTATTTAAGTAAATAATTGCTTTATTTCATTGATTGAATGATTCAAAAAAAAATAGTTTAAAGAAAATAAATATAACTTCTACTAAATAGACTAGCTTTTTCAGGAACTTACGGAAAACTAAGCTATTCAACTTTCAATCTACACTGCTACTAAATAAAAAAAAAAAAAAAAAAAATTAACATGAGTAATTTACAAAGAAATAAACAAATATAAATAATATTGAAAGTACCTCTTTATCACGTTCTTCTCGCTACCTGAGAAACTTTAGATAATAATGCTATTCAAAATTGTCTTGTTTGACATAATACTGAATGGTTATTTATACATAATCTATCTTAGGTCTTTCCGGACTTTCAACGAGAAGGGGTTTTGATGAGTACTGTATAACAAAAAATCTAAGAGTGACAAGAGTGTTGGTTTATCTAAAGCGTCTTCTTGAGCTTCAAAAATTCCTTAAAGAGTTTACCTTCTCTTTTTCCACTTCTATTCCCTGCCTGCATTCTTTCCATATGCCTTTGTTGCTTTGCTTCTTCCCTTCTCTTTTTTTCAGCTTCCCTTTTATCTTCCACGATCGTTCTTTTTCTTTTGGTTGTCACCCCAGGTGAGTTTATTGATTTCTTGTGAATTTCTGTTTCTTCCTGTGTTTCAAATTGTGCTGCAGGCTCCTCGGCAGGCTCTTCATTGTTGAAAATGTTTTCATTTAAAGGTTCAGGTTTACTAGATTCCATTGAATGTTTACATGAATTTGAGGGCTTATTCCCTAGCAAACCACCCATTTCCTCGAAAAAGTGAAATCTTGAAGGTCCTCTCCGAATTTTATTTTTGTTGTCTTTAGCAGAATTATAAGATCGGACCAGTGACTTCCACTTTGAACTAACCATTTCGGCAGTTAAACTGTATCCTTCGCTGAGGAGGTCATCCAAAATATTTTCAAAAACATGTTTCCTTTTTTTGGGGTGCCTGAGATTTTCAAAATAAACTTCCATCGACCTGATAAGGCTTAGCACTTCATTCCCACATAACAAAATTGCATCCTTAGAATGTATTAAGAATGTTCTTTTTTTAGGAGGAATGTGCTCAGAATGTTCGCCAAAACCATTGCGAATGTCCTGAGAATGTTCTGAGAAAAGATTGTAGAAATACTGTTTGCAATACCCAAGAACTTCCTGGGAAATCCATTAGGATATTCCTAGAATATACCTATGAGATTCTCAGTACGTCCTGAAAAGAATATTCCTGTTTGATTCTAAAAATATGCTCGAAACTTACCTATATTCTCACATTCAAAGAATGTTTCTATAACATTATAGTTATATTCTCAAAAAAATATTATACCAATATGCTTGAAATATTCTTAGAATATATTTACATATATCATTCTCAATATGCATCCTAGACATAACATTCTTGTTTGATTCTAAGGATATACTTGGAATGTTAATTTTCGCTTCCAAATAATGCTTGTTTCATCCCTTTTATATTAAAGGCAGTGAAAGAGTTGTTGGAAAACTTCTCTAGAAAACAGGAGTATTTAACCAAAGCTCCGGTTTCGAGCTTGTTATGCTCTCGTCGAAGCAAGCCAACTGAGAGAAACAGGTTCCAAGGTGATTCAAATGCGAGGCAAGATGTAGATCTTTAATAGCGCGTCGCTCCCTCTCTTGGAAGTCATACAAAGCAAAATAAAAAGAATATACTTATAATATTCTTAGTAGGTTCTAAATAGAGCAATATTGTTTAATTGTACAATTAAGATTTTTGAGTAGGTACTTTAGATAATTAGGTGAACAATATGAAAATATTCTTATCATGGTTACCTACCTACATAAACTTCTCAGCACAACTTGGTAGGTATATTCTTAATACTTGATAGAGATATTAGCTTAAAGAACATTTTTTAGAGTACATTATAATAATGTTCGTATGAGAATATTCAAATAATGTTAAAGTGTGTTTTTTTTTAAAGATAAAAGTCAAAATGACATTATGTTGGCAATACAATGTAAAATTGTCAATGCTTTCAAATTTTTTATGTAGAAAAGGCTTGTGTTGCCAACATAGTTACTAAATTTTTGACATGGGGAATTATCTTAAAAAAAAAACAAGCTTTATATAAAGTAGGTTCTTAGCACAATCTTTCAGGTAGGTGCATAGAAGCAACATTCCTAGTACATAAATAGAACGTTCAAAAATGAATATTTCAATCGAAACAATCATAGAATATTCATTGAACATTCCTAGAAGAACATTCCAAAAAGTACTTTGAGGGAATATTCTGAGAATATGAATGTTCTTTCACTGTTATGTGGGTTGTACCTACTGCCAAATATGAAGTTGCCCGCTTTGTGATATGCTTTGTCTTTCACCAGGAAAAAATTGAAGGATTCCACAAGATGTTTCTGATTCATTAGAATTAGGATCGTTGTTTTCCGTGTTTCTTAAGGCATTTGCTGCCCTATTCCTCAATATATTCTGTAGTAGCTGATTGGCAAATACTTCATCTAGGAGAAAAAAAAACTTTAATTTTGTAGCTAAAACCTGTCTATAGAAATACCTGATAAAATTGGTGAGTATTGTCCCTAATTTTGCAATAAATATATAACGGATTTAGGGAAAATTATCTTTGTTTTCTTTTAACATTACTTACAATATTTAATTTCATGAAATAAGTTACTAGCCATCTTTTGCTCGAAGATATTCTTCCTCGTCTAAATGGATATTAGGTATAAGTTTTCTTTCCCTCGGGGTCGAACATTTCCAAAATATAATTTGGATTCTCCTCCATTTTTGATATATATAAATAAAACAAAAGACACAAATAAACAAATGTTATGAAATGAAAATCCGTGAAAACGGGGTTGTTGCATCAGGGGACAGGAGGAAGGTAATACAGGCGTCTCACATCATGATACTGGAACGGTACAAATCTAGTGCGTGGCGCTCCCAGGGTGCTCTAGAGCGCGCCAATGTGCATACTGGAAAGCGGCTATGGCAATACATTGGAAAAGGTTACTCGAGGTCACGCCGCGCTTGCACTAACCACGTGTTTTTTTACGTGTAAACAGGGCACCTGATCGAGCGGCTCGGATTAGTTTTTGAGGCAATTTGAGCATAATTTTAATAATTTGAGTGGGTTGGCGGGCGTTGTGCGGTGCGTAAATGCATCGGCGGGTCGGTAATTGAAATTCAAATTAGTGTTTTTCACCAATAAATAAACATTAGACAAAATTGAATTCTTGCTCTACCCATTCGCTGGAGGACAAAATTCACGTCGAAGAATTTGGAACCTTTCAAATTTAGAAATAACAAAAACACAGAAAGCTTTCACCTTATTTATTATTTTGTAAAAATGGTGAATGCGCACGTTTGAATTAAAAATAATAAAAAATTACCCGAGGCGTGTTTTTTTAACGACTTTCAGATCAAAATTTGGGCGTGGCATCCAAAAAAAAAAAATCGCTGTGGGCTTCCCCTTCGGGTGTGCACTGCCAACTTGTAATCTAACCAGCCGCCACTGGATTGCACACCAAACTGTTACTTTTGGGGTAGGTATCTCGCTATTCCCACTGGAACTGGTTTAATTCTCTTGAAAAATGTATTTCAACGTGTAACTTGATATCTAACTTGACAGTTACAAAATTGTTTGCCATAGTGATAGCAAGTACCTACAACACTCGCTACAACATAAAGTTGCTTGCGTTTGCAAAAATACCAGGATTTCAATTTCAATTTTTTAAGGCGAAAACTTTAAGTTACAAAAATGATGTTTATTAGTACATAGATACCTTAAACATTACCCTTTTTTTTTGACGTTGTGATATACAGGGTGTTCCATTAAAAATAGTGGAGAATTTCGATGATGAAAAACTAGGGATTCATCAAGCCAAGTAGCTTGAATTTTTTCTTAAATACTTGACTTGACTTGAAAATTCAATCTTTTGAAAATTTGATATTTGACTTGACTTGATTTTCGGTCTGAACTACTTGACTTGATATCAAGTAAAATCAAACTACTTGATATTACTTGATAGCGATCTGTGAAATGCGCATCGAAGCGTTAAAATAGGGGATTCACCGAAGTTAAATAGGGGATTCACCGAGGTTACAGCCAGGCCCGTTCCTGGGGCGGGGGGGGGGTCAAGCGCCTGCGTACAGGCTTTTTTATTCCGCCATTTAGGCAGGGACGTACCAAAGCACATCCTTATGGGAAGGGGGGGGGGGGGGGGGGTAGATTGCAACCCAAATTTCCCAACTTTGTATTACCTGAATAACCATACCCATTACATACTCCTAACTCCTAGTTCAATAATCTAAAAATTATTGAAATACATAACAACAGTGGCGGCTATAGGATTTGGTCTTGGGAGGCGGAAATTCCGAATATTTCGTATTTTTATTTCATATTATTTCATTTATTATTTAACTGAGTTTCTTAGAGTTTTCGTTTTTAGATGTTTTTTAAATAAAAGATTACATCTATACAGTGTGATTACTTAAGTGTGCAACATATGGGGATTTTTTTTTAGTAATAGCAGAAGCCAAATACAAACAAGGCCAAAAGTTGGTACATGTCTGATAATCATACTTATAAGGTGCACTTAGAATGGTTGCAAGTCAAACAGCATACAGGGTAGCTCAAACAATATAAAAATTGTACTGTAAAATACCCTTATTATTTTAGAAAATTCAGCAAAATGTTATTGAGAAAAGTTGTTTGGAATTAAAAGTTATGCCTAAATACCAAAACATTTTCGAAAACCATTAATAATTTCTATATTTTTTTTATTTTTTATTTCCGCCCTTAATACTTCCAAAAATTAATTAAAATCAAATCAATTTTACATAACTTTGCTCAAATTCAAGCACATTTGAAAAATTAACTTGGATTTTTAATTTTTTATGGAATCACAAAGTTCATGTTTGTTGCAATGATATTCAACACAACTTTAAAATGTCGCAATTTTTTTTTAACAAGTTAAAACATTAGTAGTGATAATATGCATATTAAAAAAACTCTCCTTAAAGTGCAAAAGTTTTATTTTATTTAAGTTAATATTAGTACAATTTTGATATTTTTTGAGCTACCGTGTATGCTGTTTGACTTGCAACCATTTTAATTGCACCTAATATGATTATCAGACATGCACCAACTTTTGGCCTTGTTTGTATTATGGTTGCGCTATTACTAAAAAAAAATCCCATATGTTGCACACTTAAATAATGACACTGTACAGTGTGTCCCATTTTGGTTGTCCATAAGGGATAACTCGGTTGCTATTGGAGTTAGGAGGATGCGGTTTTCGCGAACGTTGGTTACTTTTCTGTCAAACAAAAGATGGCGCCAACATAATTGTCATCCCTCTTTTTGGTTTGCAGATACAAGGTGTTTTTGAAAAAGTTGCATTTTTGGACACCCCTTGTATCTCAGTTCTCTCATAGGTGATCGGAAAGGTGACAACGGTTCCTTATAGATATTTTTACGTAGCTTCCAGTGGTGTAGTCAGTTTTTCTCTAGAACTGATATTTTTTAAATTATGAACCAAACATACGTTTTTTCAAATGAGAGACCCTGTATATTAATAGCTTATTGGATAGCTCTGTTTTTGCTGATTTCAATGATATAAATTTCGATAGGTTTATCTTTATCATGTCCAGTGGTGCACCCTGGGGGAGCCATCGGGCCAGGTCCCCCTCCAGGCCAATCCTCTAAAACTGTATTTTTACGTATATG